AAGAGCGTGTTCTGACTCCTGCTCCAAACGAAGGTTACGCGCTCCCGGAGAACGAGAGGTCGGCATGTTGCCGTGAACCCTCCAGGACACGGAACACAGGCAGAGTCTTGCTCCATAGCAGGGTGGGTGAGAAACCAGGCTTCGGGGGTAATGAATTGTTCCTGTTATTAATTGGGACTTTGGACAAACTATGAACTTTCATAAGCTTTGTTTCCTTTCCGTGAAATGGACGTGATCATAGAAGTGACTCATGGCCTGAAGCCTGGCACATGGTGGGCACCCCGACACTGCATCTCAGATGGGGACGTCACCAGGTCTCCTCTCACAGCTCAGTGCCCTCCTGGTCAGAGCAGAGCCTGCCTCTCCCCAGACGACTGTCTCTGGGAAGGCCAGGTCGGAATCTCTAACCAGCTGAGCTCCAACCACTCTCAAAGGGAGAGAGGGCACCTGGAATGGGGAGAAGTGCTGACATTTAGCCAAAGGCCGAGGTGTGAAATAACTCTCAGTGTTCAAGACGGCCCACACAGTGAAGGATTCCTCACCCAAAACACCAGCAGTGCTTACAATGAGAAATAGACCTCATGGGGGACCAGCAGGTGGCATAATGGTTACGTTGCTGGACTCCCACATAGTCAGCAACAGTTTGAGTCCTGGACCCTGCAGCTTAAAACTCACTCCAGGTGCATGTACATGTGTGTGCAAGTCCAGAGAGGGGAAGGGAGGAGAAGGGATTGTGGCACGGCCATCCCCTCTGGGAGGTGATTTCTCACTTTGTGTTTCTCTGTCTCTGACTCTCTGGCATGCGCATGTGCGCTATAGCAAAAATCCCTCTTAAAAAAAAAGTATTTGGAAATAGACTTCATGTAATATTTACAGGCCAGTGACAGCAGAAGAGATCATTCCAACCAACAGGTCAAAGAAAAGAGCTCCAAAGTCATCTGGAAAATCACCAGTACCTCCTTATGGTCTCGGGTGGCTCCGCTTGGAGGAGAATCTGATTGGCGCAGGCCAGGGTGTCACACAGAGCCTTGCTGAGCCCCTGCAGCTGCGCGGGGGTCAGTCGGCCCATCAGGAGGGTCAGGTCACAGTCCTGCCACTGGAGCCGTCGCTCTTGCTCCTCGATTTCCTTCCTCAGCTGTTGATCTTTAGCTTCTAGCAGAGACATCCTTGCTTGGAGGGCTTCGATCTCTTTCTGCAGAGAAGGGGGAACACAGGCTGTATAAATTAACCCTGCTCACGGAAAACTGCTCTGCTGATAATGACGCGTGTGAACGAGAGCTGGCCATATGCACCCGAGCCGCCAGGCTGCCCTTCCAAGACAGGCAGATTTCTGGAGGTTTGCTGAACTGGAACAATCATGCCAGCTCTATCTTTCTGATGAGTTGGCATGAGAAGAAAACAAGCATTTCCTCCCAAGTATTAAACAAGAGCATGAGAGCAAGCCAAGCCCTGGATGTGGAAGAAGCCAGCACATATACCAACAATGGGCTCCATTTCTGACGGAGCAGCCAGACCACAGAGCAGCCAGAAATGCACACTCGAGATCTGAGCGAGGCAGGAGTCACCAGACACGGACCCACATGAAAAGCAAACGGCCCTGGCTGCTCTGTCCCCAGACATGGGAGTTGAGAGTATGGAAAAAGATTTAGAAAACCATGGCTTCTTAGGTCTACGGGACTGGCAGCACAGTGAGATGGTGCAGACACTGCCAGGCCCTCTCAAGTTCACAAAAATACTAAATAAATTTCATTTCCACTAACATAGCAAACCAAGACCCAAATAGCCCACGGAGGAGTATCGTCCACCTCGCGGCCGATGAGCTGCATACCCGGCGAGTGCTCTGCGTTAGGGCAGGTAACCACCTCACCGCTCACCTGTGTCTTCTCAACCCCAGGCAGAGACCGCCTGCCCCTTCTCCCTCCTGGACCTGCTTCCGGGACAGGCTATGAGAGGTGTGGGCGGCACTGGAGTTGCTACTACGGAGACTCAAATAGCACGTAAGGCCTCGCCCAGGATGGCGGCCCTGCTGACACCACCTCTCCGCTGGCCTTCCCACTTTGCCCTTGGGCTTCTTACACCAGTTCTTCCTTTTTTTGTTTTTTCTTTTCTTTTTCCAGCCATGAGGAATTATTCGTAACATAAAGCTCACCGTGTGAACAGTCTCTAAGTGTGCAGTTCAGTGGCATCAGGAACATGCATTTGGCTACCTCCGCCACCATCCACCCCTAGACACTTCTCATCTTACAGAACTGACACCCTGTGCCCAGGGACCGCTCACTCACTCCCACCCCCTCCTCCTGCTACTCCCTGTTTCCATTCCCTTGCTGTCTCTATAAACGCTGACTACTCGGGTACCTCATATACACGGGCTCACACAGAACTCGTCCTGGGCCTAGTTTATTTTACATTCCAAGATGTCAAGGTCCCTCCGTGTTACAGCGTGGGTCTGAACTCCCTTCCTTCCTAGGGCTGACCGATGCGCCATTGTGTGGATACACACACGAGGCGTATCGGGCACCCGCAGTGTTTCTCCCACATTCCAGCTATGGCAATGGTGTGGCTCGAGCATTCCACATCTCTCAAGTCCCTGCTTCCCGTTTTGGGGTGTGCACCAGAAGCAGAACTGCCGGATCACCCAGTGATGGAATTTCTGATTTTGTGAGGCACCAGCCCGCCGATGTCCACGGTGCTCCCATCGTGGCTCCTCACTGTGAGTGAGTTCTCAAGGCCCCCCGCTGGTGGTGGTCAGAGAAAAGCCCACATCCCCTCAAGGCCTGTGCCTCTCTGACTCCCTCCCACATGGCCTCCCCTCGCTTGAACTGCTCCAGCCACATGGGCCTCCTGCCCCGGTGTGGTGAGACCCACTCCTGCCAGGCCCCCATGGCTGCGCGTCTGCCCAGTGGAGGAGCCTGCAAGGCCCACTCCCCGTCCTCACCAAGGGTTTGTGCTTTGATCTCGCTTCTCGGTCAGTGGCCCCACTTCTCCCTCCCCCAGAGCCTGCCACACCAATTCACAACACAGAGAGCTTCCCACACCACGTGTCTTGGGCTAAAGTTATTTTCTGGACACGACAGTCTTGGCGATTTTGTAGATCTTTCACTGGTCAATGTTAGTAAAAACCAAATCCCTGATTTTGCATTTTCAGCTGTCTGAACTCTATGATGATGCTCACTGCCTACATCAGTGCCCAGTTTGCTGGGAACAGTTCCAAACTGCCGTGACATAGGCGACCCTGTGCCACCTTGCTCTGTAGGGACATGGGTGGGGCACCCTCAGATGTAAAGACACTCTTGGTGGGGGGACTGGCCCATGCCCTGTCCCTGCTCTAAGCTTATTCAGCTCGTTAGAGACTAAGCCTGGGCCAGCACTCAGAGCCAAGACCTGTCTCACGGAGTCAGCTGCCTCTGACCACAGTCTCACTGCTCCAGCCCCACGTCCGGCCTCTGGGCCCCCTGCCTCTGGGGTGCTGTGCCAGCTTCCATGGCCCTGGCTGACCTCTGGTTTGACTGGGCGCTGCACCCACACATCTAGTCCCCAGGTGACCTTGGCCAGTTTGTCCCCCTGCTTCTGCCCCCGGGCTTCCATGCAGCTGCTCATCCTTCCAGACAAGCTTCCTGCCCAGTCCGGGCTTACACTCCCATCTTGAAACAGCAGCCAGTTGTGACCACGACAGGAATTTCCATGAAGGATTCCCACAGCACAGATTTGTCTGTGCCTTTCAAAGGAAGCTTCTAAAGGTCAAAACGATAAGAGGTGACACATTGACCAGGCAGACAAGGAGAGCATGTCCGAAGGTACTGAGGTCACCACAGAGGCGCAGGCTCCAAGGCCCTGCTTTTAACGAGAGGCTGACAAGCTCTGAGCCGTACCCATGTCGCTCCCCCCACTCTCCGAGGGCTGCCGGCCCAGGCTCTGAACACCACACCTGAGCAAAGCAAAGGCCCTCTGCTCTGCCTTGTAACACACCGCCTGCCCCGAAGCCCCTGCACGACCCACCTGCAACTGCTGCTTTTCCTGAAGAAGCCAGTCTCGTCTGGTGATGGCCACACGCAGGTTGTCCTGAGCTGTGGGTTCCAAGGGCCTCTGCTCTGCTCCAAGTGGGGAGTGGATGTCGCCGCTGTTGGCCCTTAAATAACACACACAGGTGGGCGTGGGCGTGGGCGTGGGGACGCGGAAGCTCTAGGTCGATGAGTATTCGAGAGTAAGCAATTGCACGGCTCAGGCCCCCCCTTCCATCCTCACAGGGGCCAAGTGTGACGTCCCGGCCCGTTTCTGCTCTCATGGCAATCTGCTGGGCTCTCACTCCCACTGCCGTGCTGCCCGGTGCACGGCCCGGTCACGTGGCTGGCCCCAGTTAAACTGTGCTGAGGCGTAAAGTGCTCCCAGATTCAAGATGTGGGAAAACTAAGAGTGCAAATACCTCAGCAGTGCTGTGTCACTGCATGTCGAAATGAAAATATTTCGGATATACTGGGTTAGATCAAAAGTGATTTCATGTGTTTATTCCTGTGTAGCTATCGAAGTAGCTATTAGATCCTTCACACACTAGCAGACCACAAGTGTGCAGCGCAGAGACAGGAGCGGCGGGCAGCTGGGGGTGGGCAGGAGAGGCTCAGGAAAAGGAGACATTTAACAGACACAAGAATGCAAAGTGGTTGTGTACCGTAAGATCTTTGACTTGTTTGATGTGCAAACTATTTATATTTTGAGAACCCATAGCCTATGCTAAGCATTAAAATATAAATTTAAAAAAAGAAAGAGAAACACTAAAAAAAAAAATCATGTCTGGGACTCACATGGCACTCTGTGGGACAGCACTGCCTTGGCCCATTCCAACAGACAAATTCCCGGGATGAGCATGGCTGTGGAGATTTTAAAAACGAGTGAGGGCCAGCAAGTGGTGTGGTGGTGAAGGTGCTGCCCTTCCACATGGCCGACTGCAGTTCAAGTCCCAAACCTGGCGGCTTCCTTTCTCACTTTCTCTCTGTCTATCTCTGGTGATTGCACATTCCCTAAAGCAAATAATAAAATAATTCTTTTTTAAAAAAAGAATGCTTATTTAAAAAAATAAGGTGTGAAACTTGGGGTAGGGCTTCTCAGAAAAGATTCACTGAAAGTCTGCCAAAGACCTCGAAAAGGAACAGCCTAGCACAGCGTTAAGCACGGCGCAGAGAGGCCAGATCCTATATGTCTGACCGGAGTCGGAGTCCCAGACCAGCACGTGAAAAATATACCAAGTGCCCGCCCAGCTCAGGAGCCTGCTGGGATGGAAAACTGGAGGAAATGGATTGGAACATAATCAGGCCCGATGGGAGGTTCTCTCTCTCTCTCATGTGAGAGAAAATAAAAGCTACTTAAAACCTCTTGGCTCCTTCTCTTATTCCCGCAGGAGCTGACAGTTTTGGTGACAGATGTTGATAGAAATGGCCCAGGCTTGAGCCTGGTGTTGGGAAAATGTCTTTATCAGAGTCCTGTAGGTGTCCACCACCCAGGAATGACCAACTCCTCCTTAAAGGATTCGATTTCTAACCCAGGACCGGTGGACAGGGCCAGCCAATGGCACGGTGGCGAAGGCAGTTGGGTCCCACTTGGCCAACCGGGAGGTTCAACTTCCAAAATCAGCAACTTGAGAAACACACTGAGTATGTGTGTAATCCCAGAAGAGAGCACGTGCCCTTCAGCAAACTTTAAAAAGGCAGTGGGCACGCTGTACCAGCAATTCAAGGGAGCGCTAAGGAAACACCATCAACCAAAACTAACAGGCAAAAACAGGTCGGGGATAAACATTGCCACGTGTGTTATGATAAACCTGCAAAGACAGAAGGAATCCTAACAAATCCGGGAAAAGACAAGCATGCCAATCGGAAATTCTAGAAAAGGAATCAGAAAAGAATGATCTGCAAAAATGTTTGTCACCAACCTCGGTTTTAAATGCAGACCCAAACAACACAGAATACCATCTTTTACTAAGTGGCAAAGGTTTTTGTAAACCATAATTCTTTGGTGGAAGTAGGAAAAAAGAAGGAGACTTAAAATTTGTTAAATTTTAGAGTTATCTTAACTTCGGGCCAGCCCTGAAGTGCGGTGGTTGAGAGAGCCAGATCCCACATGGCCAGCTATGGTGCGAATCCCACCCAGCCTACGTGGCTTGAGGAACACACAGCTGGCCATGCGAGTGCCTAAAACCCC